TAATTGGTATCAAAAATAGGATTTTAGAGCATATTTTCAATAATATTTTCAGAACAGGATCTAGAATTGAGGAAAATAATTTAAAATAATCATTTAATTTATAAAAATTGATTTATATAATTTTAAATAATCCATTAATTCATAATAATCGATTTTTACAATTTAAATAATCAATTAATTCATTATAATCGATTTTTACAATTTAAATAATCAATTAATTAATTTTAATCGATTTTTACAATTTAAATAATCCATTAATTCAAAATAATCGATTTTTCAAATTTAAATAATCCATTAATTCAAAATAATCGATTTTTAAAATTTAAATAATCCATTAATTCATAATAATCGATTTTTACAATATAAATAATCGATTAAATGGTACTGACTTCGAACCACTGAACTGAATAAAATTCTAATCAATTTTTAGTAAGTAAATAATCGATTTTCGACCACTGTTCATCATCATCTTCCTCGGGTCAGTTTTAACATTAACATTTTTTAATCACCAAACTTTAATTTAATTATATAAAAATGTTCTCCAATGTTCACATATCATTTTAGAGTCATTAATTCGTAATTTTAACAACAATTTCATGGTTTATGATTCTTGGTTCTTCAAACATGTCAAACACAAAACTCAACCAAACGACCGTTTATGAACGTAGAAACTATCTATATGAACATTCTAGTCACTAGATATATCTACGGGCTTACCTCGAAGCTTATTGAAGGTTTTGAGAATTTTCCGGCGAAACTTCCGGCGATGATAACTCCCAACTCCGGCGACTTCGGTGGCCACCAACTACTGCAGCATGTTCTCCTCACTCTCAAAAACACTTTGGTACTAAACTCATTAGTTTTTGGTGAGGAATGAGAGGGTTGATGGTGGCCTTATATAGGAAGAGAATGGGGAAGGTGACAACATTTGCTGCGTAGGATTTGCGTAGGAATGCATCCTCGATCGGCTGAGTGGAGTAGGAGGCGCCGTCCCTGATTGGGACTAATTTTGGTTCCAGTCGGGTACACTTTTTGTACAACTTTCTCCGAATTGAAATCCGTTTGCACCTTTGAGATCGTGTAATTAAACTCTATCCAACGATATAATTTTTATATTTATTCGTTATACTTTTTCCGACATCATATTTTTGGGTGGTTGACTTTGACAGAGTCAAAATTGGCCTTTATTCAAAAAGGTTCTCACATTTAATTCATATTATTTATTCCCATGATTTATTTCAATAAATCATTTCAAAGTTCACATTATAAACAATTTCTTCATTTATTCTTAATTTGGGTCTGTACTCAG